CCAACCCAACAATTATTATACATCATTTTAAAGAGAAAGCTTTGAGCTTTAATTTAGAATAAGTCTCATTCCTTAATTTCAATAAACACGGCTTCCAGGAATTTTTAAATTAACATCTTTTTTGACACTTTTAGGTTATACGAAAATGTAAGTTTGATTTAAACATTTTTTTCTCAATATTTTTCCAATCCAACCCAATAATTATTATACATCATTTTAAAGAGAAAGCTTTGAGCTTTAATTTAAAAGAAGTTTCATTCCTTAATTTCAATAAACGCGGCTTCCAGGAATTTTTAAATTAACATCTATTTTGACACTTTTAGGTTATACGAAAATGTAAGTTTTATTTCAACATTTTTTTCTCAATATTTTTCCAATCCAACCCAATAATTATTATACTTCATTTTAAAGAGAAAGCTTTGAGCTTTAATTTAAAATAAGTCTCATTCCTTAATTTCAATAAACACGGCTTCCAGGTATTTTTAAATTAACATCATTTTGACACATTTAGGTTATACGAAAATGTAAGTTTTATTTAAAAAAAAACTGTAAATTAACTTTTATTAAACTTATACAACAATTAAAGGTTTATCAACAAATTTTAATTTACTTAAATCTAAAGTACAATTCCTTAANAAAAAACTGTAAATTAACTTTTATTAAACTTATACAACAATTAAAGGTTTATCAACAAATTTTAATTTACTTAAATCTAAAGTACAATTCCTTAAATGTAAATGCATTAAGTACGGTAAATAATTAAAAGCGTTTTCATCAATATAATTAATTTGGTTAAAACCTAAATCGATTTCTTTTAAATTATTGGAGCCTTTAAATAAATTCCTTGAAACATCTTTTAATTTGTTGTGGTTAAAATTAATAAATTTGAGTTTTGGGCATTTGAAATCCCCCAAAATACGATCGATTTGATTAAAAGAAACGTACAAATATGTTAATTCTGGGATTGCGTTGAAAGTTTCTGCATTTATTGTTTGTAAATTGTTATCAGACAACCCCAAAGTGGTTAATTTTCTTAAATACATAAAACAATCTACGTCTAAATTATTTATTTCATTTTTATACAAGGCTAAAGAATTTAAATTTGGGGTAAACTCAAATAATTTTTTTGAAATCGTTTTTATGTTATTATTCGTTAAATCTAAGCTTTGTAAATTACTTAAACCATCGAAAGCTTCATCATCAATCACTTTTATTTTACAATTAATTAATTCTAAAATTTCTAACGAGTGGAGGCCTTTAAAAATTTGATTTTCTAAAACGTTAATGTTGTTGTCAGCGAATTTCATGATTAATAAGTTACTCAAACCCATAAAGGCATTTCTGTTAAGTTGTAAATCATTAATTCTTGAAAGTTGATACGACGTAAGACTTTTAAAGTTTTCATGAAGGTGTTCATTCGGATCGATTACGAATTTTTGAAGATCCTTTACAACAACAACGCTCGTCGTTGGATCGATTTCTTCGTAAATATCTTTTATCGATGTAATCGAACCGGTACAATGTACGACTTGCTTACCCATTGTTGAAAAACATTTCGAAGAAGTTAATCCGGGCATTGTTAATAGAAGGAAATAAAACTTCCAACACGAAACGATTAAGGTTTTCTAAAAAGAAAAATTTACTTTGATTACAAGTTATCGTTTTGATTGATTGTTATCGATTGGGTATTGGATTTTGGCCTTAAATAAAAATGTTCTCGTTATTTATAGTGTGGTTATAATTTGCACGTTTAAAAGTTAGTGGTGGGGAATATGTTTTTTTTTGCGTCGATTGTTGTACAGAGTGTTTCAAAAGTTATGTAACAAATTAAATTTGAATAAATATAAAAGTTAAATTTGCCGAAGTAACTTTGACTGATAATGATCAGGGTATAAAGAATAGGTATCAGGATGATTGTATTCTAAAACGGAAGATTGCTCACACCTTTCTCTTACATACGAAAATAAGGAGCAATCAACAATAACCGAACCCAATCAACAATAAACATTGCTAATAAGAATCACTTAGGGATATAGTACCACAAAGTATAGTAACTAGACACCAGTCTAGAGATCTGACTAGATTACAGTTTACCATTGATGACTGACAATCAACAAAAACCATAAAATGATTAGATTTTACTTCCACAAGCATTAATTACTACATTGTTGCCACAAACACTTTTTCTTCCCTCGCATCCTGTAGACCAACAACTCAACCCAACCCAATCGGATATGGCGCCTGGACTGTTCCGATTAGGAGTGTGGGACTCTCCTGGCACCAGGTGTTGTTGGCCAGGCCTACCACACTAAAAACTTCTCCTCATTGTTTCGCTTGCAGACTATAGGCTGCAATATTTCGTGCTCCGTGCTCAATGTATATTCCATGCTCAATATTTCGTTCTTCTGCTTCTTCTCTTCATATCTTACTCGCAACCCATTGGTCTCTTGTCATCCCCCTCCTTCGCCTTCATCGTCCTAGTCAGCAGCTCCATAATCTCCTCGGTCTCCATAAGGATTCTCCGCAATGGTTCTTCTTCCCTATCCTTTGCTGCGGTATTCTTACGCAAAGCAGAAAACTTTTTACAATAAAAGATTCTGTGTAAAGAGATTCTGGTGTATCTTCAGCTTCACATCCATACCAAAACTCACTTGACTCTATTTCCTTTATTTTTTTCAAATAACTTCCGAAACCTGTGTACGATAGCCACACATTATAGATAGATAATTTTTTGATTGCTTCCACACTAAAAGGTCATACGGAGGGCACCCAGCCAATGCTCCGATGGTTTTCGTTCTGTACACAGAGGGGATGCAAATAGCTGCTCTCCTTTCTATTGATCTTAATATATGAGGCATCGATTGTACTACCGTTGCGATGAGTTTTCTCTTCGTTTGGCTGGATACTCCCACTTTTGGCATAACTCTAGACAGGGCACTCATTATTTTAACTGCCTTTTAATATATTACCCTTGGATACGTGGTCATTCGCAAGTCCTTGTCGATATTAACTCCCAGGTACTTTACTGACTTTTCGCTATTTACTTTAATGCCACCCATTGTCATTTGAAGCATTTGACCCCGCTTTCGTCTTTTGGGGAGCTAGTTCCAGGACCATATTCTATAATTCTCGCCTTATCCTCACTACATAGTACTTCGCTTTATCTCTTAATTCTGTTGGAGTCGCCGCCTGTACTACCACCGTTAAATCATCAGCGTACGCTATTATCTCTACATTTTCTTCAGTTCTTATGCGAAGCACTCTATCATAATAGACGTTCCATAGAGTTCCTCCTTTAATAGTTCCTCCGAAACTACTGGGACAGGACACCATGATGTCGCCAAGCCAAGGAGGTTCTGATGTACCTTGACCCAAACGAACAGATTTATTTATGAGGCTGTCCAGGAAGAACCTAAGTTTGGTCATAGGTCTAATCACTGGACACTGGCATCTACAGAAGCACTTACTGTATATGAGAATAAGTGACACCGACATCTGCAGAGGGTGCGGTGAGGAGGAAGAATCGGCGGAACACATTCTATGCGACTGCGTGGCCCTCCGAACATTCATTTTTGGAGATATCCAGATTCGCATGAGTGGAATCAGGGCAGCACAACCAGGACAAATTCTAGCCTTTGCCTCGAAGGTAATATGACTGGAAGGAGCGTAATGCTGACCAAAAGATTGAAGTAAGTACAAGGGATCTGCTGAAGTAAGTGCTGCGGGCGGTTCAGCCTGCCTTCCCGCGAATCCAGAATCCAGAAGAGTTCCTCCTACAACTAATCCTTGCTAGTCATGCTTAACGCACTTATTACTTCCGGCTTCTTCCGGCGTTTTGGACATCAAGTAAAACCATTACTCTGTATCCTCTGTGAGTCAGTGAAATCTGTTTTCCTTTCATTGTGCTGTTCACAATATGCATGACTGCATCTATTGTACTCCTTCCATTCCTGTATCCGTATTCGGATATAGGATATAAGTCGGTTGTTTATTATCCTTTCCAAAAGTTCTTCTACTGCGCTGAGAAGACATAGGGGTCTGTACGATGTCTCTTTTTTCGATTTCTCTATTAATACAAAATTTGCTACTTTCCATATGGCGGTGAAGTTTCCTTGTCTTAAACACTCATTAAATATTTTTAAAAAGGTTTTCGGATCTTCCTTCACGCACTTCTTAATTATTTGATTTGTTATTAACTCCTGTCCTTAAGCCTTTTTTTGGTCTTAGACTTTCCACGCTTTTTATTAATTTCTCCAGTTTTATTTCTTCAAAAAATTCAATTTCTTCTCTATTACTATTTATTGTTTTTTTCGTCAATCATAGGTCTTTTCTGCAACCCTAGTCTTTTTGTCGCTATCTTGTACGCCGTGCCCCAGACACCCTGCTCCAATTCTATACATAGCTCTTTCCACTTTACTTTTTTGCTTTTATTTATAAGTGTGGGCAAGTTCTTTTTACTCTCTATGTATTGTTGTTTGAGTAAATCCTCTACATCTTCTTCCACGTGTCGCCTTCTTCCTCTTTGTAGTTGTCTCTTCCTTTGCACGCACTGCTTCCTGGCCGTCGTTCCACCAGTAAACGCTTCTCCTCTGGTTCTGACTTTTTCGTTGTAGTGTTCTGTTACATGCTGCGGTTGATGCCTTCATTAGGCTTTCTGGATATTCCTCTGTGATTCTTTATGTTTCTCTTTGGAACTCGTTTTCCAGTCGCTGTTGTGATTCAAGCATCGTTTTTCATCTTCCATCCATGTTCTCCTTTGCACCCTCTTCCTTTTCAAAAACCAATGTTAGTAGGTTATGATCGCTAAGAACTTCAATATCTTCCTCAACCTTCCAGTTTTTTATTCTTGTAGCTAATTCACTGCTAATCAAAGTCAAATCAATAATTGAGTTCTCTCTGCAAGTTCGGTGGGTTGGGGTGCTTCCCGTGTTGGAAATAATTAGTTTTCATCATTATCCATTCCTCCTCTCTGGTTACCTTTTTTGTCTCTCGCCACGTGAGTTCTAGCGTTGAAATCGCCTCCTATCACTACCGGTTTTTTTTATCAATTAAAATTCTTTCTATTTTATCTAGCGGGCTTTCGAACTGTTCTATCTTTTTGTTTATCCGAACCCAATCTAACTCAACCCAAGCCAACCCAACGCAACCCAATTGAATCCAACCCAACCCCATACAATATACAAGCCTGCAGTAGTTACAACAGCATCTGTCTTTCTTCACATATCTAACTATTCATCTCCTCCACACTCAACTCAACAAGCTTAGACTTTATGGACTCGTGCATAGTCAAGATAAATTCAATATAGGGACTGCTATTATAGAGACTAGATCAATACTCCGAGTATGGTTTCTCAATAATCAAACCTACCCGAACTCTGCCAGCCAAAATTACGTTAGGTGAAATGTAAAAATTTTCTGAATTTGGAAAATTCATTTATTTTAATGCAACTTGATCAGAAAGAACAAAAAATTGAAAGAACAAGCGGTTGATCAAACATCAGTAAGGACACAAAGGTCATCATTGCAATCAAAATGGATGATGTAGGCAGTACACAGATTAAAATTGGTGTGTCCGGATAAACGGAGTTCTTTCTTCAGCGTATTAAGTAAGTACCATAACTGCAATCTACTTTTAAGTATCCATAACACAAAATCACTTGCCGAAAATATATCAATTCTTTTTATGACTTCAGATGCTTTTGCCGTATTTGGGACTTTTATACTATTTTTTCAGTCACCTGAACTTCGTTTCCAATCATAAATAGATGCTAGTTATAGCTGTTATGGAAATCATTATTCACTTTGGGTCTAAGTCCTAGAGATGAAGCAAGCAAGAAAGAACTGCAAGATCTTGAAGAACTGTCAAATGTCAAATCTCCTCCGTCAAGCAATGAACATTTTTATTGCCAAACTTGACGCAATTTCTTTATTAAGTACTGTGCTTCAGTTGTGACTTCACCGTTTCTTGTAATTTCCTCACCATCTCATATTATACCAGGAATTTCATTTAACTCGTAATATATGAAAGCAGTAACCATAGTTACGAAACTACTATGCACTTGCACAAAATGCAACATAGCACAGTACAGGCATTGGGTAGTTTTGCAAAGGAAAAGTTTTGCTTGGAAAAGGTGACGTCCTTATGATAACTCTGAGTTTCCGTCTTAAGAGACGCATTGCTAAACCCGAATGTTTCTGGTTCTAGGTCTAGTGTTAGTTCTACGTTTAATAAAAATATACCACAATCTAACGTCGAATAATAATTAAAACTAGAACTAACCTAGACCAATAACTAGAAACTGAAAATGATTCTAGTTCTAGGTCTTGTGCTAGTTCTAGTGATAGTGCTAGTGTAAAACTATATACAACAATTTAGCGCTGAATAACAATTAAAACTAGAACTAACACAAGACCTAGTACTAGAAACATTCGGGTTTAGCCGCACGTCTGAAGACGCACGGCTAAACCCGAATGTTTCTAGTTCTAGGTCTAGTGTTAGTTCTAGTTTTACACTAGCACACTGTTACTGTGTAGAACTAACACTATACCTAGAACTAGAATCATTTGGGTTTAGCCACACGTCTCTAAAGACGGCTAAACCCAATGATTCTAGTTCTAGGTATCGTGTTAGTTCTAGTTTTACACTTGCACTGTCACTAGAACTAACATTAGACCTAGAACTAGAAACATTTGGGTTTAGCCGCACGTCTCTAAAGAGGGCTAAACCCGAATGATTCTAGTTCTTAGTTTTGTCTTGTGTTAGTTCTAGTGATAGTGCTAGTGTAAAACTGTATACAACAATCTAATGCCGAATAACAATTACAACTAGAACTAACCTAGACCTATAACTAGAAACATTCGGGTTTAGCCGCACGTCTTTCACGACGGCTAAACCCGAATGATTCTAGTTGTAAGTCTTGTGTTAGTTCTAGTGATAGTGCTAGTGTAAAACTATATACAATAATCTAGCTTTAAAACTAGAACTAACACTAAAGATTCTGAAGACGGACGGCCAAACCCGAATGTTTCTACTTCTAGGTCTAGTGTTAGTTCTACTTTTACACTAGCACTGTCACTAGAACTAACATTTGACCTAGAAATATTTGGGTTTAGCCGCACGTCTCTAAAGACGGCTAAATCCGAATGATTCTAGTTCTAGGTCTAGTGTTGGTTCTAGTTTTACACTGCTACACTGTTACTATGTAGAACTAACACTATACCTAGAAATAGAATCATTTGGGTTTAGCCACACGTCTCTAAAGACGGCTAAACCCGAATGATTCTAGTTCTAGGTATTGTGTTAGTTCTAGTTTTACACTTGCACCATCGCTAGAACTAACATTAGACCTAGAACTAGAAACATTTGTGTTTAACCGTTCGTCTATTTTGCTAACTTTTGAAATACTCTGTACAAAAATTGTTTATAGACAAAATGATCACCTACTTACCGTTTGCATTTTTAATTATCAGCACTTTGTTAATACAATTTGTTATAAAATTTGTCACAAATCGAATGTGAGTCGTTAAAATGTTCAGATAGAACTAATTGTTGTTTCGGATTTGATGTAATTAAAGGAAATCAAATTCAATTGACTGTTGAGAAGGAGAGGTTATCGTTGTTTAGGTCGTAAAGATAACAAGGATTTTTATTTGTTATTATTATTGATGTTATTAATAAAGTGGGAAATTGAGGATTGAATAACAGAGTTTGTAACAATAACAAAATAATTATTGCTTAATAATTTGTTTAAATCTAAAAAATATCGTTTTAAAGTGGAGCCTAATAAAATTTAATTAATTAAGAAATTATTTAATAATAATCTGAATCGTTCATATTTTGCGCATCTTCAGTATCCATAAAATCGTAAGATTCAGTTAAAAAACTTGTGTTATCCTGGAATTCCTCCACCTGATTTTTTCCATCATTAAAATCAGGCGACGAAGGTGAAGTCAACGATGAAGTTGATGATGTAGAACTTATTCTTTCATCGTTCGGTTTTAGGTATCCTTGAAGTAGCCGATTTTGACGTTCCCAACGTTGGCGATCTTTATTTCTTAAAAATTGAGTTATCTCAAATTTAGGTGGTCTAAAACATTGAATTAAAAAAAATATATATATTTAAATAAATAACGAATTAATTTCAATTACTTTTCTCCGTTTAAATAAACTCTATTTTGTAAATGTTGAATATCATGTCTAAAATCTGCTAACAATAAAAGAACATTATCCAGAGAAGTTTTTGGTCCTTTTGGTCCTCTGGGACCTCTCTCTCCTCGATCTCCTTTTGGCCCGCGAGATCCAGCCGGTCCCGGATCACCCTGAAAATTTAAACGAAAATTATTCATACTTTTAAACGTAGAAAACGGTAAGTGAAATGTCTTGTTTTAGTATTCCAGCTAAGAAACGTCGCGTCGTTAGATGGGCGTTCTTAATCAGGCTATCCTTCATGTTACGAAATTAATCTTTTGTCTCCGTTGTTTCGCAAAACTCGGAGAAACAACTCGGAAACATTGCCATTTGTCTCATTGCTTCGTTTCGCATTGCTTTCTCTAACTCTAGGAGGAGGATGCTATGATTAATCGTCGCACAAAGCGATATTACAGCGTTTCAGAGATATAGTTTCGGTAAGAAAATATTTTGAAAGGTTTTAAATTGGATTTGTGTTAAAGATTATACATTATTTATTTTATAAACATAAAAATAAAGTTTGTGTACCTGAGGTCCTCTTTTACATTTACAATAAGCCGCTCCATCTTCGGATTCTATTCCCGTTTGAAGGGGTACAAAAGCGTCTAAAATGGAATATGTGTAGTCTTGATTTCCGCTTGTTGTTGTCGATCCTTGACCTGGGGAATGAATAAATTTACTCAATTCGTTCTTGAGATATAATAATTTTAATTTTTTAAATGTTTATACACTTATTCTGTATTAAATTTGCTTTAAAATGTAACAAATCTATAACAACTAAATATATTGAATATTGAATATTATGATGGGGCGAAAATCTTACATAAGTGTCAAAAAGGATATAAAATGGATTTGTTGGAAATGTTCGAAATTTATTTTTTCTTTCTCTTGCTTTGTGTATTCGATTCAGTCTCTTTTCTTCCCAACCACGCTACATTTTATGTTTATAACGTCTATGTTTTAAAGTTTAACTTTATTTTAATGCGTTTTTCATTGTTTAAAAATATTACATAAGGTTTTAATGGTTTTGATGTTTTGATTTTGTTTGTTTTTAATATGTTCGTGAATAATATGATGCTTTCCTCGACTTTTACTGTATAAGTCTCGAAATTTGACCGTAAGTTTTTGCCATTTATGTATTTTTATTTTTGTTTTATGTCTTTCAATTTTCTTTAATTCATTTTGATGCTATCTTTCGTGCTAATACAAAAAATCTTTGTAATTTCATGTGCAGTTTTCAACTGATGATGAGAGAACACTCTCGAAACTAGTTTTGAAATAAAATACTACAAGCAAGAGTGAAGTAAACTTTTTATTTTATTGAAATGACTTGCAACATGGATTCCCACCATTATATAAATATATTGAGTTGAGTTTAAAAAATCAACTGTTTTGCTGAAATAATCTATTTTGACAACCCCTCTAGTGTTAATTCTAATTTTAATTGTTATGCAGCGCCGTCTTAAGAGACGTACGGCTGCTAAACTCAAATGTTTCTAGTTCTAAGTCTAATGTTAGTTCTAGTGACAGTGTAAGTGTAAAACTAGAACTAACGCTATACTTAGAACTAGAATCATTCGGGTTTAGCCGTCTTAAGAGACGTACGGCTAAACCCAAATGTTTCTAGTTCTAGGTCTAATGTTAGTTCTAGTGACAGTGCAAGTGTAAAACTAGAACTAACACTATACCTAGAACTAGAATCATTCGGGTTTAGCCGTCTTTAGAGACGTGCGGCTAAACCCAAATGATTCTAGTTCCAGGTATAGTGTTAATTCTACATAGTAACAGTGCTAGTGTAAAGCTAGAACTAACGCTATACTTAGAACTAGAATCATTCGGGTTTAGCCGTCTTAAGAGACGTGCGTCTAAACTCAAATGTTTCTAGTTCTAGGTCTAACGTTAGTTCTAGTGACAGTGCAAGTGTAAAACTAGAACTAACGCTATACCTAGAACTAGAATCATTTGGGTTTAGCCGTCTTTAGAGACTTGCGGCTAAACCCTAATGCTTCTAGTTCTAAGTCTAATGTTAGTTCTGGTGACAGTGCAAGTGTAAAACTAGAACTAACGCTATACCTAGAACTAGAATCATTCGGGTTTAGCTGTCTTTAGAGACGTGCGGCTAAACCCAAATGATTCTAGTTCCAGGTATAGTGTTAATTTTACATAGTAACAGTGCTAGTGTAAAACTAGAACTAACGCTATACTTAGAACTAGAATCATTTGGGTTTAGCCGTTTTAACAGACGTGCGGCTAAACCCAAATATTTCTAGTTCTAGGTCTAATGTTAGTTCTAGTGACAGTGCAAGTGTAAAACTTGCCGCACGTTCTAGTTTTACACTAGCACTGTTACTATGTAGAACTAACACTATACCTAGAACTAGAATCATTCGGGTTTAGCAGTCTTAACAGGCTAAACCCAAATGCTTCTAGTTCTAAGTGTAATGTTAGTTTTAGTGACAGTGCAAGTGTAAAACTAGAACTAACGCTATAGAAAAAATGATTCTAGCTCCAGGTATAGTGTTAGTTTTACATTGTAACAGGGCTAGTGTAAAACTAGAACTAACGCTATACTTAGAACTAGAATCATTCGGGTTTAGCCGTCTTAATAGAGACGTGCGGCTAAACCCAAATGATTCTAGTTCCAGGTATAGTGTTAATTCTACATAGTTCTAGTGACAGTGCAAGTGTAAAACTAGAACTAACGCTATACCTAGAACTAGAATCATTCGGGTTTAGCCGTCTTTAGAGACGTGCGGCTATACTCAAATGATTCTAGTTCTAGGTATATTGCTAGTTCTACATAGCAACAGTGCTAGTGTAAAACTAGAACTAATACTAGACCTAGAACTAAAAAGTTTCGGGTTTAGCCCTACGTCTCTTAAGACGGCCGAAAACTCAAGGTTGTCATAAGCCTACCTTTATCACACCTTTTTCCAAGCAAAACTTTTCCTTTTACACATACCTGTACTATAAAGCTATGTTACATTTTATGTGGGACAGTGCAAATGCATAGTAGTTACATAACTATGGTCACTGCATTCATATATTGCGAGTTATATGACATTCGTTTTGTATATCTTATTAAAAAGTAATTAAGTTAGATTAATTAAAATTGATTTAATTTATAATTGAAACTCGATTCCATTTTTTAATTTTTATACTTTTAAATAAAGATCATAGGATATTCAGAAGTATGGTTTTGACAGAAAACCAACCCTGAGGTAACATTCTAATGAGCACGTTACATGAAACCCTCACGTCTAAAGGTTCCGGGGTTTTACCCGAAATAATAACTTTAACACAACCTTCACTACCTTTTCAACATACGCAAGCTAAAATTAGATGGAAATACATTTTTCGTTAGAGGTAGGTGGAAAATTTTCTTTGTCATGCTAATTAGAGTTAATTATAAATACGGGAAAGAGATCTCCTGTTGGACGTCCGACCCAGGAGAGTAAAACGAAGGTGGAATGAGAAAATGAAGGAAAGAGGAGAGAAGTACCACCTCCCGGGTTGATTAAATTTTCACCCCTCACCCAGCTGAAGAGGGATTTTCAGAGATTTACAAGCTCAACTGCAGCTTCTTCAATGAAATTCTCAGTTTATGTAATAATATCTAGTGTGAATATTAAAATTTGATAAGAAAGTATTAAACGGGTTTAATCTTTAAAATGAAGATATAATTAAAATCTTGAGTAGTAAATTTTTTTTTGAAACAATGAATTACTAGAAATCGCATTTTTGCATTTGATAATGATAGTAGTGTCACACGACACGGTCTCTTTGAATTATTCTAGCACTCTAAAAGCAATTACGGGGTAGCGGAGCCAGCAGAAATGTCGCTGCCATTAACCCAACCCTGTCCATTTGGTGGTATTAATTTTTCAACCGCCACCGACCCCAACCCGATTTGAGCTTCCTTTACGTCCTTCCACCTCCCGAAACGACGACAACTTCATCAACCCCCATCAACTTCCCTACCAAACCCATCAACAAGAACATCAACTTTATCACCACTTTATACAGTTATAACACTCCAAAAACGGTGGATACTTTTCTTAATGTCAAAACATTTTAGTGCATTTTTAAACAGGATAAAATCATTTTTCTATTTCCCTTAACTTCTAATATAAAAGAAAAAAATAGTTTTTGTTTGCGGATTTCAAAATTGAATGGATTAAGGTTGGAAACGAGAAAAAGCAATTAAAGGAATTCGAAGGGGTTAATAATGCGATAAAGCACGTTAAATAGTCGATGGAGAATAAAGGACGAGAGAGAGAAATAGTTCCGTACCAGCGAATCCTCGTGGTCCTTGCGGTCCTGGAATTCCCGGGGGCCCGGGTGGTCCTGGGGGACCCGAAGCCAGACTGGACAACTTGATTGCAGTACTTAAAGCTGACACCTGTTAACCATCATAAAATAGTGATTGAATAAAGAAAATATAATGAGTTATTTAATAAATTAAAGATTAAAATGTTCTCTTTAAAACGCTGTATCATATCATAACCTACACGTTTATTATAAAAATTAAGAGAAAATAATTTTTGAAAAAATTGTACATAGAGGTTAGGTTCAAGATCATTTTTATCGATATCAATGTAAAAAAAATCACTTCTCCATTATTCCTGGGAATTAAGAAACGAGTTATATCTTAAATAAAAGCTTAAAATGTTCTCTTTAAAACGATGTATCATATCCTATATGTTTATAGCAAAAGTTAGAGGAAAATAATTTTTGAAAAAGATTGTACATAGTGGTTAGGTTGAAGATCATTTTTATCGATGTCAATTTAAAAAAAATCATTTCTCCTTCATTCTTGGGAATTATGAAACGAGTTATATCTTAAATAAAAGCTTTAAATGTGCTCTTTAAAACTATGTATCATAACCTATATGTTTATAATAAATATTAAGAAAAAATAATTTTTGAAAAAGATTGGTCATAGAGGTTAGGTTGAATACCATTTCTATCGACGTCAATTTTAAAAAAATCAGTTCTCCTTTATTCCTAGGAATTAAGAAATGCGTTATATTTTATATGAAAGTTTAAAATGTTCTCTTTAAAACGATGTATCATAACCTACATGTTTATTATAAAAATTAAGAGAAAATAATTATTGAAATAATTCTACATAGAGGTTAGGTTGAAGACCATTTTTATCGCTGTCAATTTAAAAAAAAAAACAATTTTCCATTATTTCTGGGAATTAAGAAACGAGTTATATCTTAAATGAAAGCTTAAAATGTTCTCTTTAAAACGATGTATCATAATCTATATGTTTATAATAAAAGTTAGAGGAAAATAATTTTTGAAAAAAATTGTATATAGTGGTTAGGTTGAAGACCATTTTTATCGATGTCAATTTTAAAAAAATCATTTCTCCTTTATTCCTGGGAATTATGGAACGAATTATATCTTAAATGAAAGCTCAAAATGTTCTCTTTAAAATGATGTATCATAACCTATATGTTTATAATAAAAGTTAAGAGAAAATAATTTTTGAAAAAGATTGTACATAGTGGTTAGGTTTAAGACCATTTTTATCGATGTTAATTTAAAAAAAATCACTTCTCCNGTTGCACTTTTGCTTTAGATGCGTCAATATCGAGAACAATACGAAAATATACATATTTTATGAATTTGTTGCTTTTTTAAGTGATTAATGGTAACACACAGAAATCGGAGCATGTTACAAAAGAACTTTTAGAACAAAAGTTGTAGCAAATTCTATTGTTGACAATATTGTTCTCTTGCACTTTTACTCTTAGATGCGTCAATATCGATAAAAATTCAGAAATATGAAAATTAGATGAATTTGTTGCTTTATCAAGTTATTAATGGTAACACACGGGAATCAGAGCATATTACTAAAAAAACGTTTAGAACAAATGTTATAGCAAATTTTGTTCTTCACAATATTGTTCTCTTGCACTTTTGCTTTAGATGCGTCAATATCGAGAACAATACGAAAATATACATATTTGATGAATTTGTTGCTTTTTNATGTATCATAACCTATATGTTTGTAATAAAAGTTAAGAGAAAATAATTTTTGAAAAAGATTGTACATAGTGGTTAGGTTTAAGACCATTTTTATCGATGTCAATTTTAAAAGAATCATTTCTCCTTCATTCCTGGGAATTAAGAAACGAGTTATATCTTAAATGAAAGCTTAAAATGTTCTCTTTAAAATAATGTATCATAACCTATATGTTTATAATAGAAGTTAAGAGAAAATAATTTTTGAAAAAGATTGTACATAGTGGTTAGGTTTAAGACCATTTTTATCGATATCAATTTTAAAAAAATCACTTCTCCTTTATTCCTGGGAATTATGGAACGAATTATATCGTAAATGAAAGCTCAAAATGTTCTCTTTAAAACGATGTATCATAACCTATATGTTTATAATAAAAGTTAAGAGAAATAATTTTTGAAAAAGATTGTACATAGTGGTTAGGTTTAAGACCATTTTTATCAATGTCAATTTTAAAAAAATCACTTCTCCTTTATTCCTGGGAATTATGGAACGAATTATATCTTAAATGCAAGCTCAAAATGTTCTCTTTAAAACGATGTATCATAACCTATATGTTTGTAATAAAAGTTAAGAGAAAATAATTTTTGAAAAAGATTGTACATAGTGGTTAGGTTTAAGACCATTTTTATCGATGTCAATTTTAAAAAAATCACTTCTCCATTATTCCTGGGAATTATGAAACGAGTTATATCTTAAATCAAAGCTTAAAATGTGTTCTTTAAAACGATGTATCATAACCTATATGTTTATAATAAAAATTAAGAGAAAATAATTTTTGAAAAAATTGTACATAAAGGTTAGGTTGAAAACCATGTTTATCGATGTCAATTTTAAAAAAATCACTTCTCCATTATTCCTGGGAATTATGGAACGAATTATATCTTAAGTGAAAGCTCAAAATGTTCTCTTTAAAGTGATATATGATAACTTAAAGTAAAATATCAACAATTGTCGGAAAAGATTTTTTAAAATCGACTTGTTAACAAAATTTTCAACGATGATATAATTATATCTCAAAAAGTAATTATGATATTGAGATGAAATAAAAGCCATTTTATAGCAAATTTAATATAATTTAACTACTTATGTTCCAATGCACCTCGATAATACGCTTTTTTGTTTAAATCGGTGTAACTGAGATTGGGTTGAAAAAATTAAAAGAATATCGTATCTCAATAACTAGTTGATTAATCTTTGCGTTAATATAAATGGCAGACATTACCGTGTACCCAATTCACATGAATAGCTTTATTCTTGCAATTTCGTTTATGGATGAGCTTTAAATACTATAAATCGACCGTAAAAATATGTAAATATAAATCGATTTCGGTTTTCGTATGATACACAATACATCTGTAGGGTATTGTGAATTTTTTATGAACGCTATTTGGTTTCCATCGTGCATATTTACGTAAAATTTTTTTTATTTGAATAATGGATGCCGTATTTTATTTATTGGTAAGCTTGTTTGTAATCCGTTTGATGTAATTTTATAAATATACAGTTTCGAATGGAATCAAATTGAATAGATAACAAATTATAAATCAAAAAATAAATAAATAATGGAAATTTTATTTACTTTTTCTTGGAGGGCTTTTATCTTTTCGTGTAGTCTGGACACGGTATCGCAATTTGCATAGCAATGATCTCTCGTAGCCGCTTGTTGGTCCATTTCCCTTCCTTTGTAACCCAATCCCAACTCTCCACCTTCTATGGGAATACATGTTCTGTTGTCCCCGGATAGTTTATACCCTGTTTCACATAAACATTTATAACTTCCAACTTCGTTGGCACACTTTTGGCTACAATCCCCATTATTATCTAAGCACTCATCCACATCTAAACGTTAAATATTGATTTAAACAACATCATTTAATGTTAATTAAAAAAAGATTACCTACGCAAACAGGTTTTATCCCCAATTTTTGATTTTCTGGGCTAAATTTATATCCTTCGAAACAGGTACAAATTACTCTTTGATGGTAAACCGTACACATTTGTTCACATAACTCCATTGAACATGGATCCTCATCTTTGTGGACACACCTAAAAAAGAATAAATATATTGAAGTAAATTTAAAATAATTAATAAAAATATCGTCTCCGTGTAATCAATAAAAATGTACATCCTTCATAAAGTAACGAAGATTAAAAAAAAAGGATTCATTTTGATTGGATTTTGCGTTCATTAATTCATCTCTGGCTAATGAACGTCGGGGATTACAAAAACAAAGCTTCGATCGTTATCCATGAACCTTCTTTTAATGAATACACGAGTTCCAATTTTGAAATGAATGCCAAAGCTTATTTTTCGAGTACTTCCCTTAACAAAATATCATAAAAAATACTTTGATACAATCGTCATGATGCGGGAACTTTTTCACTTTATAAAACGAGATCAAAACGAACCGATTTAGCTCGATGTGGTGCAGCTTTCAATTACCGATCACTAATCCTTCTGGCATCATAGCAGCCGGTTCTCGGAAAAGCTGTTTTCCCCAACTCACTTGAACACCGAGTTCCGTAGATAATTACATTTGAAACTAAACTCTACGAATATATAAACACGCTACATCGGTTATTTACGATTTACAAACCATCAAAACTTTTGGAATTGCAAAAATTATAAAGAAAATACGAAAATTAGATGAAGTAATTAATGGTAATTCGGAGCATATTATGAAAAAAAACTTTTAGAACAAAAGCTGTAGCAAATTTTATTCTTAACAATATTGTTCTCTTGTACTTTTGCTCTTAGTTGCGTCAATATGAAGAAAAATACGAAAATATGAAAATTAGATGAATTTGTTGGTTTTTCAGGTTATTAAAGGTTACACTCGAGAATCGGAACATGTTATATAAAACTTGTAGGACAAAAGTTGTAGCAAATTTTATTCTTAACAATATTGTTCTGTTGCACTTTTGCTCTTAGATGCGTCAATATCGAGAAAAATACAAAAATATCAATATTTGATGAATTTGCTACTTTTTTAAGTGATTAACGATAACACACGGGAATCGGAGCAATTACAAAAAAAAGGATTTTAGTGCAAAAGGTGTAGCAAATTTTATTCTTAACAATATTGTTTTCTTGCACTTTTGCTTTTAGATGCGTCAATATTGAGAAAAGTACAAAAATATGAATATTTGATGAATTTGCTACTTTTTTAAGTGATTAATCATAACACGAGAATTGGAGCATATTACAAAAACTTTTAGAACAAAAGTTGTAGCAAATTTTATTCTTAACAATATTGTTCGGTTGCAGTTTTGCTCTTAGATGCGTCAATATCGATAAAAATTCAAAAATATGAAAATTAGATGAATTTGTTGCTTTCTCAAGTAATTAATGGTAACTCACGAGAATGGGAGCATATTATAAAAGAACTTTTAGAATAAAAGTTGTAGCAAATTTTATTTTTAACAATATTGCTCTCTTGCACTTTTGCTCTTAGATGTCTCAATATCGAGAAAAATACAATATATGAATATTTGATGAATTTGCTAATTTTTTAAGTGATTAATGGTAACACACAGAAATCGGAGCATGTTACAAAAGAACTTTTAGAACAAAAGTTGTAGCAAATTCTACTGTTGACAATATTGTTCTCTTGCACTTTTGCTCTTAGATGCGTCAATATCGAGAAATATACAAAAATATGAATATTTGATGAATTTGTTGCTTTCTCAAGTTATTAATGGTAACACACGGGAATCGGAGCATATTACCAAAAAACGTTTAGAACAAATGTTATAGCAAATTTTGTTCTTCACAATATTGTTCTGTTGCACTTTTGCTTTTAGATGAGCATCAAATCGAGAACAATACGAAAATATACATATTTGCTGAATTTGTTGCTTTTTTAAGTGATTAATGGTAACACACAGGAATCGGAGCATGTTACAAAAGAACTTTTAGAACAAAAGTTGTAGCAAATTCTATTGTTGACAATATTGTTCTCTTGCACTTTTGCTCTTAGATGCGTCAATATCGAGAAATATACAAAAATATGAATATTTGATGAATTTGTTGCTTTCTCAAGTTATTAATGGTAACACACGGGAATCGGAGCATATTACCAAAAAAACGTTTAGAACAAATGTTATAGCAAATTTTGTTCTTCACAATATTGTTCTCTTGCACTTTTGCTTTAGATGCGTCAATATCGAGAACAATACGAAAATATACATATTTGATGAATTTGTTGCTTTTTTAAGTGATTAATGGTAACACACAGAAATCGGAGCATGTTACAAAAGAACTTTTAGAACAAAAGTTGTAGCAAATTCTACTGTTGACAATATTGTTCTCTTGCACTTTTGCTCTTAGATGCGTCAATATCGATAAAAATTCAAAAATATGAAAATTAGATGAATTTGTTGTTTTATCAAGTTATTAATGGTAACACACGGGAATCGGAGCATATTACTAAAAAAACGTTTAGAACAAATGTTATAGCAAATTCTGTTCTTCACAATATTGTTCTCTTGCACTTTTGCTTTTAGATGAGCATCAAATCGAGAACAATACGAAAATATACATATTTGCTGAATTTGTTGCTTTTTTAAGTGATTAATGGTAACACACAGGAATCGGAGCATGTTACAAAAGAACTTTTAGAACAAAAGTTGTAGCAAATTCTATTGTTGACAATATTGTTCTCTTGCACTTTTGCTCTTAGATGCGTCAATATCGAGAAATATACAAAAATATGAATATTTGATGAATTTGTTGCTTTCTCAAGTTATTAATGGTAACACACGGGAATCGGAGCATATTACCAAAAAAACGTTTAGAACAAATGTTATAGCAAATTTTGTTCTTCACAATATTGTTCTCTTGCACTTTTGCTTTAGATGCGTCAATATCGAGAACAATACGAAAATATACATATTTGATGAATTTGTTGCTTTTTTAAGTGATTAATGGTAACACACAGAAATCGGAGCATGTTACAAAAGAACTTTTAGAACAAAAGTTGTAGCAAATTCTACTGTTGACAATATTGTTCTCTTGCACTTTTGCTCTTAGATGCGTCAATATCGATAAAAATTCAAAAATATGAAAATTAGATGAATTTGTTGTTTTATCAAGTTATTAATGGTAACACACGGGAATCGGAGCATATTACTAAAAAAACGTTTAGAACAAATGTTATAGCAAATTCTGTTCTTCACAATATTGTTCTCTTGCACTTTTGCTTTTAGATGAGCATCAAATCGAGAACAATACGAAAATATACATATTTGCTGAATTTGTTGCTTTTTTAAGTGATTAATGGTAACACACAGGAATCGGAGCATGTTACAAAAGAACTTTTAGAACAAAAGTTGTAGCAAATTCTATTGTTGACAATATTGTTCTCTTGCACTTTTGCTCTTAGATGCGTCAATATCGAGAAATATACAAAAATATGAATATTTGATGAATTTGTTGCTTTCTCAAGTTATTAATGGTAACACACGGGAATCGGAGCATATTACCAAAAAAACGTTTAGAACAAATGTTATAGCAAATTTTGTTCTTCACAATATTGTTCTCTTGCACTTTTGCTTTAGATGCGTCAATATCGAGAACAATACGAAAATATACATATTTGATGAATTTGTTGCTTTTTTAAGTGATTAATGGTAACACACAGAAATCGGAGCATGTTACAAAAGAACTTTTAGAACAAAAGTTGTAGCAAATTCTACTGTTGACAATATTGTTCTCTTGCACTTTTGCTCTTAGATGCGTCAATATCGATAAAAATTCAAAAATATGAAAATTAGATGAATTTGTTGTTTTATCAAGTTATTAATGGTAACACACGGGAATCGGAGCATATTACTAAAAAAACGTTTAGAACAAATGTTATAGCAAATTTTGTTCTTCACAATATTGTTCTCTTGCACTTTTGCTTTAGATGCGTCAATATCGAGAACAATACGAAAGTATACATATTTGATGAAGTTGTTGCTTTTTTAAGTGATTAATGGTAACACACAGAAATCGGAGCATGTTACAAAAAAACTGTTAGAACAATAGTTGTAGCAAATTCTATTGTTGACAATATTGTTCCCTAGCACTTTTGCTCTTAGATGCATTAATATTGATAAAAATTCAAAAATATGAAAATTAGATGAATTTGTTGCTTTATCAAGTTATTAATGGTAACACACGGGAATCGGAGCATATTACAAAAAAAACTTTTAGAAGAAAAATTGTAGCAAATTTTATTCTTAACAATATTGTTCTCTTGCACTTTTGCCTTTAGAAGCATCAATATCGAGAAAAATACGAAAATATGAATATTTGATGAATTTGTTGGTTTTTAAAGTGAATAATGGTAACACACAGGAATCGGAGTATATTACAAAAGAACTTTTAGAACAAAAGTTGTAGCAAATTTAATTTTTATCAATATTGTTCTCTAACAGTTTTGTTTTTATGTTAATGTCCGTTATAGCGAGATTTTACTGTTTATTTTATTAATAAAATATTATTTCAAAGTTAAACATAAAAGTTAAACTTTGTTGGAGTAATCCTTTAATTTTTCGTTTCGCGTTTTACTTCCTGTAGTATTCGCCCAGTTTTGAATATTTCATATCTGAATAATTAAAAAGGATTAAACTTGTTTGAATCCCAACTAGGATTAATATCGCACGCTTTAAAATTCGGCGCTTTTTTTTAAAGTATTGATTTATTTTAAGTATCAAAAAATTAATTATCAAAATTTCACTCATTACATTTACTCTTGAACCCTTTTTGTTTCCATTTAATCACAAAAAAAAAAAAAAGTTCACCGAATCCATATCATTTTTTGTAATACCTGTGGTTTTTTTTTTGATATTTTTTTGCGAAAAGTTTTCAACGCACCCAAACCATTAAATGGCATAACATACCTGCCTGAAATAAATACGTAGTCGGGACAGCAGTGTTTCCTCGTGCAGTCGACCCATTTGTCATCAACTTTGCATTTGTACCGAGTAGTGATGACATTGCTGGATGGACACTCAAAAACGTCCGCACTGCAAAAGGGAAATTCGGTTTAATTTCAACCTAAACTTTTATTTTGACGCATAAAAGAAATCTTACTCCAAATTAGCCCGTCCAACTTCACTTAATTGATCCAAAAAGTAACCATCATTATCTAAATCATCCGATATCGTTGATTTATTTAAGAAAATTAAAACGTAACACAAAGAATTAATTAAAAATCGATCGGAAAGCACCATTTTTTATTTTCGTTAATAGTTACACTTTGAGTATTTAATTGACGCCATTAGATTCTATTAAGAATCTTATAGGCGAGGAGAAGACAATTGTTGTACTTGAACTAAACGATCCGAACTAAACTGTTATTCGGATGAAACTGTGTTGAAGTGGTTCGAATGGAATAAAGTGTTTATTGCTTGCTCACAAGCGTGTGTTCAGAAATAGAGGCTGGTATTATGTGTCGAGAACACTCAAAACTATTTAGAGCGTAATTATAGAGAAGTGTGACTTGTAAAGAACAAAATTATTTGTTAAGTTTAATTATTCTTATTCGAACTTAACGATATTCTTAACAACAACAAAACTTGTACACAGAAATTTGCAACTTCAAGTAAACCATTTCCTCTCCATCCCGATGTGGTTTATTTACGATGCAAATAGAGAAGAGTAACTCAATGCTAAACCGAAACTAGCTGACGTTTTGGAAACGAAATTTCGAACTTTGCATCGTCTGCAGTCTATTTTCCGTATCCATTTCCTTTTAACCAATTCATTGAGAGTTATCTCTTTAACTTTAAACATTTCTTCGTGTTAAAAATAAAAACAAAAAGTCCATCATTTCTGGAAGGTTAAACCACCAAGTCTTAAATCAAACCGTAACCTAATGAACTATAGTATCTCTGCCCCAACAATCAAGACGCCATCGTAAAGACTATAATTGAAACATAAACTTGAGACGACGACCATTAACTTTGTCTTTGGGTCAGTTGGGATGGTTTTATTACCACGAAAAGAATGAAGTGTTTGCGGTGACGTGGAAACGGAGAAAAGGAACGAGGAAATTGCCTAGTTTTTTTTGGGTGAGGTAACATCATGACGTTCCAAATAAATTTTGCTCCTCTTTTCGATTTTAGAGATTTTATTATATCTTTTGTGTTTTTACTTTTTCGATTATAAAGAGAAATTATAGTAATCAAATTATTTTTGTTTAAGCTTGTTCAATTTAATTTTCATACCGTACATCGCGATATGTCTGTAGGAGATGTTGACCATTTCACGAGCAACGTCCACACCGAAAGGTTGGAATTTGCAATAACATTGGACATTGTCGGCACAGGTGAGTGCGCTGCAATGCTGGAAATTTCTCAAAAATATCGCAATATAGAGACTAAAAGTTGGTTGTGACATATTAAAATCGACAAAGTTGATCAGCAAAGGAATTACTTCGATTTTAAATCCATGGTGTATATGGCGTAATTTAAAATAACGTATCTAAATAACCAATTGAGACATCACCATGAAACATAAAAACCATGAATGTATTTAGCAATTACTGTATCGAAACTCATTTCTTATTACGGCTTTAAGTTTATAAATATTAATTTTGAAAAAATCATATCTTCGAAAGTAATAGAGATATTGAGATGTAATAAACACCATTTTATAGTAAATTTAATCTAGTTTTAGTACACCAAAAAAAATCCTCCGTTCCTACACATCTCGATTATACGATTTTTTTAATTTAACTCTGTGCAGTTTTTCTAAGGTTGGGTTAATAAAGATACATCTTAAAAAAATCATATCTCAATAATTAATTGAGATATAACCATGAAATAAGAACCATTTTAAAGCAAAGTTATTTTGCAATCAATGTGTTGAAACTCATTTCTTTATTTCTATAATCTTTAAATACAAATTTTATGAAAGCGCCCCAAGTTTCAGCAAACAAATATGTTTCTCGATATATTCCAAAAATTGAGTCTTTTACCTTTAATTTAAGATATAAATCACATTTTAACTCCTCAAAATAAGGTTGTGGTGATTTTTTTAGTTTTCTCTTTTTCTGTCATAACGCAAATTAACAGATTTTTCTATATGACTGTTTTTCTGAAAATAATCTGAATGTAATCAATATATTTATCAAAAAGTTTCAAAAATAGAGGCTTTAAGCTTTAATTTAAGATATAAATCACTTCTTATTTCTTCAAAATAAGGTCGGGGTGACTTTTTTAGTTTTCTCTTTTTCTGTCATAACACAAATTAACAGGTTTTTCTATATGATTACTTTTCTGAAAATAATCTGAATGTAATCAATATATTTCTCAACAAATTCTAAAAATAGTGCCCTTTAGCTTTAATTTAAGACAGAAATCACTTCCTAACTCCTCAAAATAAGGTCGTGTTAATTTTTTTAGTTTTCTCTTTTTCTGTCATAACNATATTACAAAAACTTTTAGAACAAAAGTTGTAGCAAATTTTATTCTTAACAATATTGTTCTGTTGCAGTTTTGCTCTTAGATGCGTCAATATCGATAAAAATTCAAAAATATGAAAATTAGATGAATTTGTTGCTTTCTCAAGTAATTAATGGTAACTCACGAGAATGGGAGCATATTATAAAAGAACTTTTAGAATAAAAGTTGTAGCAAATTTTATTTTTAACAATATTGCTCTCTTGCACTTTTGCTCTTAGATGTCTCAATATCGAGAAAAATACAATATATGAATATTTGATGAATTTGCTAATTTTTTAAGTGATTAATGGTAACACACAGAAATCGGAGCATGTTACAAAAGAACTTTTAGAACAAAAGTTGTAGCAAATTCTACTGTTGACAATATTGTTCTCTTGCACTTTTGCTCTTAGATGCGTCAATATCGAGAAATATACAAAAATATGAATATTTGATGAATTTGTTGCTTTCTCAAGTTATTAATGGTAACACACGGGAATCGGAGCATATTACCAAAAAACGTTTAGAACAAATGTTATAGCAAATTTTGTTCTTCACAATATTGTTCTGTTGCACTTTTGCTTTTAGATGAGCATCAAATCGAGAACAATACGAAAATATACATATTTGCTGAATTTGTTGCTTTTTTAAGTGATTAATGGTAACACACAGGAATCGGAGCATGTTACAAAAGAACTTTTAGAACAAAAGTTGTAGCAAATTCTATTGTTGACAATATTGTTCTCTTGCACTTTTGCTCTTAGATGCGTCAATATCGAGAAATATANTGATTACTTTTCTGAAAATAATCTGAATGTAATCAATATATTTCTCAACAAATTCTAAAAATAGTGCCCTTTAGCTTTAATTTAAGACAGAAATCACTTCCTAACTCCTCAAAATAAGGTCGTGTTAATTTTTTTAGTTTTCTCTTTTTCTGTCATAACACAAATTAACAGGTTTTTCTATACGATTGTTTTTCTGAAAATAATCTTAATGTAATCAATATATTTCTCAACAAATTTCAAAAATAGAGCCCTTCAGCTTTAGTTCAAGACATAAATCACTTTCTGACTCCTCATAATAAGGTCGTGGTGATTTTTTTAGTTTTCTCTTTTTCTCTCATAACGCAAATCAACAGGTTTTTCTATACGATTGTTTTTCTGAAAATAATCTTAATGTAATCAATATATTTCTCAACAAATTCCAAAAATAGAGTCTTTTAGCTTTAATTTAAAATATAAATCAATTTTTCACTCCTCAAAATAGGGTCGTGGTGATTTTTTTAGTTTTCTTTTTTCTGTCATAACGCAAATTAATATGCTTTTTTATATGACTGTTTTTCTGAAAATAATCTTAATGTAATCAATACATTTCTCAACAAATTTCAAAAATAAAGTCCTTTAGCTTTATTTTAAGACATAAATCACTTTCTAACTCCTCAAAATAAGGTCGTGGTAATTTTTTCAGTTTTCTCTTTTTCTGTCATGACGCAATTTAACAGGTCTTTCTGAAAATGATCTTAATGTAATCAATATATTTCTCCACAAATTTCAAGTATAAAGTCTTTAGCATTAATTTAAGATATAAATCATTTGCTACTCCTCAAAATAAGGTCGTGGTGATTTTTTCAGTTTTTTCTTTTTCTGTTATAACGCAAATTACAGGTTTTTCTATGTGATTGTTTTTCTGAAAATAATCTTAATGTAATCAAAATATTTCTCAACAAACTTCAAAAATAGAGTCCTTTATCTTTAATTTAAGACATAAATCATTTTCTAACTCCTCAAAATAAGGTCGTGGTGATTTTTTCAGTTTTCTCTTTTTCTGACATAATGCAAATAAACAGATTTTTCTGAAAATAATCTTAATGTAATCAATATATTTCTCAACAAATATCAAAAATAGAGTCTTTTAGCTTTAATTTAAGATATAAATCATTTTCTAACTCCTCAAAATAAGGTCGTGGTGATTTTTTCAGTTTTCTCTTTTTCTGTCATAACGCAAATTAACAGGATTTTCTGAAAATAATCTTAATGTAATCAATATATTTCTCAACAAATTTCAAAAATAAAGTCTTTTAGCTTTAATTTGAGATATAAATCATTTTCTAACTCCTCAAAATAAGGTTGTGGTGATTTTTTCAGTTTTTTCTTTTTCTGTTATAACGAAAATTAACAGGTTTTTCTATATGATTGTTTTTCTGAAAATAATCTTAATGTAATCAAAATATTTCTCAATAAACTTCAAAAATAGAGTCCTTTAGCTTTAATTTAAGACATAAATCACTTTCTAACTCCTCAAAATAAGGTCGTGGTGATTTTTTCAGTTTTCTCTTTTTCTGTCATAACGCAAATTAACAGGTTTTTCTGAAAATAATCTTAATGTAATCAATATATTTCTCAACAAATTTCAAAAATAGAGTCTTTTAGCTTTAATTTAAGATATAAATCATTTTCTAACTCCTCAAAATAAGGTCGTGGTGATTTTTTTCGTTTTCTCTTTTTCTGTCATAACGCAAATTAACAGGTTTTTCTGAAAATAATCTTAATGTAATCAATATATTTCTCAACAAATTTCAAAAATAGAGCCCTTCAGCTTTAGTTCAAGACATAAATCACTTTCTAACTCCTCATAATAAGGTCGTGGCGATTTTTTTAGTTTTCTCTTTTTCTATCATAACGCAAATCAACAGGTTTTTCTATACGATTGTTTTTCTGAAAATAATCTGAATTTAATCAATATATTTCTCAACAAACTTCAAAAACAGAGCCCTTCAGCTTTAGTTCAAGACATAAATCATTTTCTAACTCCTCAAAATAAGGTCGTGGTGATTTCTTTAGTTTTCTCTTTTTCTGTTACAACACAAATCAACAGTTTTTTCTATATGATCCTTCTACTAAAAATAATCTTAATGTAACCAATATATTTCTCAATAAATTCCAAAAATAGAGTCTTTTCGCTTTAATTTAAGATATAAATCACGTTTTTACTCCTCAAAATAAAGTTGTGGTGATTTTTTTAGTTTTCT